TTCCACAAAAATAAATGATTTTTCCCACATTTCCTAAATCAAGTGCCAGGGATCTGGTAAAAGGCTTCGGCAGTTGAAGATTTGGCCTATTCTCATATAATCCTGGAATAAGAACTTAAAAAACTAATTTATGAGGGAGATTTTTGAGAACTCTTTTTAATCTTCTCAGAGTGCTTCCAGATTCTATCAGTTGTGTTGCCAAAGAAAAAAGGAAGGCATAAATATCTTTTTAAAAAGAGAAAAATGCATAAAGCAGAAACTCTAGGTTTTAAAAAACATCAAATAATACAGAACTATATAAGTGGATAGTATTTTCTTCTACTAAAACTACATGAGTAGTATAAATTAAACTACATATAACAGGACCTTTGAAGGAGAAAGAATGGGAAATTAAATGGAATCTAAGTTTCATACAAAGGCAAACTGATAAAGGTAACTGGAGGGATATCTACTATCCAATAAATGCAACAATTTTTTTAAAGGAATCTTTAAATAGTATTAAAGTAGGAAATGTAGATTAGTTTCTAAGGAGGAAAGAAATTAGACAAATAAATAGTTTATGGATTGATACAATTTAATAAGGTTTAATTCTGTACTCATTTTAATTTTTATTATGATTATATTCTCATAAATGTACTTTTCTATATTTATGTTTATCTTTCCAAACTCAGAGCCTGAATCTGTGGACATTAATCAAAGGAGGTCACCAGCAAACTTGCTAACCAGTCTCATTGGCTTCCATCTTTTTTTATGCATAATAAAGTCACCTGACCAAGTGACCATGAACAGAGACTGACTGGGGCTCCTGTTTTTTAGCAGCTGTTCCTCTTCAGCTCTGACCATGTTGTTGTGTGATTATCTCAATTGGTTTTAATCAAGAATAAACTGAAGCTCTATCACTGAATTGTTTAAAAATAAGACACTAGTTTGTTGTATTAAAGTTGTTTGCAGTAACAGCAACAACACAAAATGTTTGTTTTATGTCCACATTTTACTTATTAACTTGATAGAGTTAATATATTTAGGTCTTTAATAACTTTGAAACAAGTCAAATTACAAATTGTAAGATTTAGCAGATCATTGATTCACAACTATCTCTAACTTGGTCTATCTTTACATAAGTACTTTTATTATTTTTAATAGCTCTTTGGGAGTTCATAAACTATATCTAAATCCCTTCTATAATTTTTACAATGAATTGAAGTTATACTAGATGACTTACCACATTATTTTTCTTTCAATTTTCTAAAGCAGCTCTGTCCTCCATAATTGTTTCAAAATAGCTACCATAATTCCATAAATTATCCTCATTCTTCGACCCTTCCGCTAACTGATCTGCACACAAGCCAAGAGGTAGTACTGTAGAGTAATACTGTAAAGTGGTATAGGAAAAAAAAATAAGGAAAAAGTTTTAAGATAGTTAAGTAGTTACTGTCAGCTGGAAATAGAAGTAAACATGTTACATATTTTAAATAATCTTAATCTCTAACACCAATATTGATTGTATATAAATGGTGTGTAAAATGTATAAAAATGGTGGTTTAATATAAAGCATCCTATATTAAGAGCTGAGATCTGAGTTCTGACTTGGCTTAGGTGCTAGCTCTCCCTATGACTTTGTATAAGTCATTTAGTATTTCCAACACTCAGCATACAATATTTAATGAAAAAATCATTATATAATTAGAATCTTCCCCCCCACCTCATGAAACGGTAGCTCTTCTGATTCAATTATGTTCACCAAATAGTAGTGATTGTGTCTAATGCATACAATGAGAAAGACCAATTACAAGAATAAAGGGCAAAGCTCAATAACAATAATTAGCAAAATTTCTAAACTTGGGTTCTAACTGGAACTATTTCAATTGAATTCAACAACTACTTACTGAGTGTCCCCATATCTATGTGAGTGGGAAGATACCCCAGGCAGAGAAAGAGTACCAGGAGACTGGGGGATTAGAGAAAAAAACACTGCATATGCAAACCACAGAAAACGGTATAGCTATATTAAAAGCGTGGGGGAACAAGGGGAGAGGAACAGTGGCAGTTGCTGTGGTGAGAAATGCCAGAGTTAACTAGGAGCAAAATTACACAGGCTTTGTGGGCCATATGGTAAGTTTGGACCCCCTTCCAAGAACAATGAGGAATAATTAAAGGGTTTAAGCAATGGTATGACATGATTTGCTTTCCAATTGTGAAAACTCTTTCAGGCTACAGTGCACAGAATAGATAGCTGTGGGCAAGACTGGAGACAAGAAAACCAGTTAAGTGACAGTTTTGAGACAAAGGAGGCTTGAATTAGAAGGCAACACAACAGTAATAAGAAATAAGACTTCTGAAGTCATTTGCCTGCATTCAAACCCCAGATTTTCCACTTACCAAGCTGCTTACTCCCTACACCTGTTTTCTCATCTATAATCCAGAGGAAAAAATCCTCACAGGATTCTTGCCAAAGAACAAATAAAAATAATACTCATACAACAGTTGGCATGTTGACTGGCACATAGTTAGAATGCAAATGTTTACTATCATTAAGTAATGTTAATGGGATGGAGAAATGAGAATATAACTGAAAGATGTTTAGGATACAGAAACTGACAGTTAAGGTACAGGAAAAAGGGTAAAGGAATGAGTGAACAGATTCTAGTTTCTGGCTTGAATAGTGGCACTATTTGATGAGATGAGAAACACAGAAAGTTTGAAGTGTTTGTTTTTTAATAAGTTGATTGAGAAAGACATTCCAACAGGCAGGTGAATATATCGCTCCAAAGTGAAGGAAACAGATCAAGGGTGAAGATCTGAGAATGAGAGAGACAGATAGTAATTAAATCCATTGGGGTTGACCAGAACCTCTAGAGAGAGAATACATAGAGTGAAGAAATGCTGACAAGGTAAAAAGTATGAAACACCAACATTTAAAGGATGGGCAGGGGAAGAGAAGCCTGCAAAGGACACTGAGAGAAAGGGGCCAGAGGAATAAGAACAATAGTGTGAGAAGTCAAAAGCCAAAAGAAAAAAAGTGTTTCAAACTAAAGGAAGTACTCAACAGCGTCAATACTGCCAAGCAGTGGAATAAGTTAAGGACTGAGAGTTTTCACTGGATTTAGCAACAAAGTTATTCATTCACATAGTAAATGTGTCAAACATTGTGCTAGGCCCTGGAGAAACAGAGGTAAATAAGACAAGAGCCTTGCACACACAGACTCTAAGTCTTGAAGAGATACAGTAAACTAGTAAACAGATAAAATACTGACACATTATGATAATAAAGTAACATGACAGAGTAAAAGGCAGAGGCCAGCTTTAGATGCGGAGCTTAGGAGGGCATCTCTCTGAAGAAAGAACATTTAAGCTGAGACCTAAGATGGGAAAGGGTTTAGCTTGGTCAGAGAACTGAAAGAGGCCCTGAGACTGCAGTATAATGGTAGAAGAGCCAAGGAGAGAGAAGCCAGGTCATGACTGTAGATTATGCTGAGGGTATAGTGAGAAAAAGTTAGATGATGACCTGTTGAGCATTAGTATGTAGGGAAGTTAAGATCACTCTAACTAACGGCACTTATTAGTTTGCTTTTCCTCATTTATACTAGTCTTAATAATCAGAAATAGGACATTTTACCACTCTTTCAACCATTAGCTGTTTATTAGAATGTCAGGATAAACTTTTCTATTTTAAAGGGTACTATATGATTACAGTATGTTACCTGTTGCATTAATTTACCTTTTAACCTTCTTCCATAGATACTTCTCATAATATCTGCTTAATTCTATCATTAAATTATATTTCTCTGAGGTACTCCTCATTTTCTAGTAATGTACATCAGAATTTGAATGTTTTATAACAAGTAGACTCAGCAAGGTGTTACTAAAGTGTTATGGGCCAATAACGCACAAAAAATCTGATGGGCTTCATCAAAAAAAAAAAAAAAAGAGAGAGACTGTCTATATTCTGTAGTATTATATTCCACAGTTTCAGGTTCCTATTTCCTTAACCTATGCATTTATATACATGTATATGATAAAGAAAAGCTGATGCAGAAAACTTAGGCTTGATTTTGAACAGCTGAATTATATGTGCATATTGTTTTTTCATTTCCTTATCTGCAAGAGGAAGAATTTATAGCCCTTCCATATTTCACAAGGATATCAATAGTATAAAATGCTACCATTTACTTAATATCTATTAATTATCAGGCAGTGAGCTAGGCACACTACATAAATTATTTTTAATTGTCCCCATACCTGAAAAAGTAGGTATTATTCTTCCAATTTTACAGATGAAAAAACAGTCTCAAAGAGATCAGCTGACTTGCCCAAGACTGAAGAGCTGGAATTTAAGCCCAGTCCTGTAATCTTGAAAACTCTGGTCACTATACCATGATGCCTCAGACTATTAACAGATTTAGGTTCCTTAAAAATACCTATCAGATATAAGATATTAAATCATAAAGATGAATTTTTAAATGATAACAAATGGTATTTTATTAAATTTTTAATAAACTGTGTACAACTTAGAAATACTTGCCATATACACCATTCCTATATATTCCTCCCTTTGGCATAACTTGATTTCAATTTTTTTTAATAATAGAGAAGAGAGATAAAAGCAAGAGAGAAAAAATAACAACACTGTACTTAAAGTACAAGTATTACTATTCTGGGTCAAAAAATTCCCCAGTTAATCCTTAATACACATATTAAATCCAATGAACTACTATAATTAACTGCCTATTCTCACAAAACTATGTCTCTCAAAATTAAAAACTACAAATGGCCTAAGGATTTCATGAATCAGAAAAATCTAACCTCTGATTAGAACCTCTAAATGTCACTATTTCTCTGAATTTGAACGGCAACGAGTCTGAATAAAAAGATCATAATTTGCTCTTAACAGAATCTATTGATTTATTGAATTGTGAGCTTTTCCTCCTAAGACTTTTCAGGTAGCCATGTCAGCCACGAAGATACTGTCTGAAGAAGTCTAGGTATTTAACAAAAAGAAATTGCTGCCACATCATCTTTATTTTCCTTAACAAAATACACAAGAGAGCACAAAATTCACTTATAATATCATCATTATTTTACAAATATAAATAATGCTCAAAATTCAAGTACAGTTAAGTGCAGAGATAGTTCCTATATGTTAATATGTAAACATAAGCTAATTATAAATATCAGGTACCTCTGGCCCAGGTGCAAAAAAAGAAACATCAAAAGTAACACTGCACTTGACTGTTCGACTGCATTCTTACTGAGAATTCATACCAATGCCTATATTGTTACTGTAATAACTTTCATAGCTCTTAATATAAATGCCTAAATAGACATTTTACCCCCTGGAAAATATCTCAAGAGTTAAAATTCTATCCATTTTAATGATGTAGTATTAAAAATCTTAATTGAGTTTCATTCCTTAAAACAAACGCTATTAGAACTTATTACTAACCAAAGTTCTTCCTATGTCAAAATGGATAGTATTTACAGGTCACAAATAAAAAAAAAAACTGCTATCATATTTGTTTACATTTAGAATGGAAAAAAATACCTAAAACCTGTCTAAACAGTGTGGGTTTTATACATTAAAAAGGATTTTACTTTACTGATATCACTTGCTTTTAATTTTAATAGCCAGTAGACATAACTTTGACATATTGAAATAGCTAGGCAATCTGAAATTCAGATGACATCAAGCATGTCTTTAGAGGGGGAAAATAAAAAGAAAGCACCACCTAAGAAAGCAATAACTGACATCAACAAGACTACAAATATCCAGTTGAAGGCACGTGGAAGCATTTACTATATTGTCAAAGATTCTCCACTTAGTTCAGGATTAGGAATAGCATCAGCTCTGGGAACTGTTGATTTGGCTTTATTCATTGAGGTTTCCCCATTCTCGGTCTCTTCTTGCTTCTCCTCTGGTTTCTCTGTGCCAGATGCTTGTTCAATCACTGGGTCTGTCTGCTCTGTATCCGGTATTTTGTCATCTGTCTGCTCTGTACTGTTATCTAGAACGTCTTGTTCTTCTAAAGATTCTGAAAAGATAAAGAGTCAAGACTTTAGGTATACCCAAATGTTAAAACTACTAAATAAGATAAGCACATGCAAACATGGACTAAGAAACAGTAGAATGGTCTAACATTAACCTTAAAATCTTAAAAAATATGTACTTAACTCCCTACAGCATACCATATATGAATTGGTATGAATGAAGGAAAAAAAAAATTCGGGGGAAACAAACCCATAAACATACTTTTACCTAAAGACCCATAGTTCATGATATATATGAACTTTCATAATATTTAAGAACTTCAAGATGGATTTGAAAGTTGAATGTCCAAATATATTAAAGTCCCAACAGAATTATGTGCTATAAGACAACATCCCAGCAAAGAAAGCAAATGTATTAACTCCCAGATTATGTTTCCTGAAGGAACTGGTCTCCCTTGCGTCCAGGCAACGCTGTGACCAATGTGTAAATGTGTACCTTTGTGTGTGTGTATGTGGTGTGATTTCCCACACTGATTTACATCTCTATTATCCATGGCTGGGGAGGTCTGGATCCACCTTTTCCAAAGGCATGACAAATCTTCCCTCATCCCTCTGCAAGACAAGTCCTCAGGATTTAAACCTCTGGGTCAGAATATGCTACATACCTTGAATGCTAGGGAGAGAAAGGGAAGGGTCTTTTGCCCCTCCCTGTCTCCACAGCGGAGGCCAAGTAAGGTCTTGGTTCCTACCTGAAAACTTACTCCCTTCAAACTCTCTTTTGAGTTTCATTAAATTCAAATCTCTTAATAATAATTTAATAATAACAATAATAACAACTTTAATTCTTCAAAGTTTATAGAAAGGGATAGGAAAGGGAATGACAGGAGCAGAAAGCTTCGAGCCACCCAATTTCCAAATCAAAGATAAAAACCTAACTTTGAGGTGTTTCTTTGTTGTGTTTGTGTAATAAACAGCAACTAATATTATTGTTAGGAGAAATATGGTTAAACTACATTGGCTAAGCAAATAAGCCGATTTTCACACCATCACAGAAGATCCCTTACAATAAACTACAAATGTTACTGATTCAAAAAATCTGGAGGATAGGTCAGTCTACACTAGTAAAAAGTTCTAGTTTTGTTCCTTACACAGTACAGGCCAGAATTTTGCTAAATAAAATTAATTAATAGTTTTGCAAAGAAATTATGTGCTATATGCACACATACTGACATGGAGGTCTTACAAATTCATGGTTTTATCATATCAGTTTTAATAAATACAAATTATCTATATATCACACACTCTATGCCAAGAGTCGAAAAATATTTTTTAAATTATATTTAAAACAGATATCTTAGACGCATTTACAGAATTAATTACAATCTCTTTCTCTCTCTTTTTTTTTTTTTTTGCAGTACACGGGCCTCTCACTGTTGTGGCCTCTCCCGTTGCGGAGCACAGGCTCCGGATGCACAGGCTCAGCGGCCATGGCTCACGGGCCCAGCTGCTCCGCGGCATGTGGGATCCTCCCGGACCGGGGCACGAACCTGTGTCCCCTGCATCGGCAGGCGGACTCTCAACCACTGCGCCACCAGGGAAGCCCTCTCTCTTTTTATATATAGAACAAAAGGCCAAAATTGCATAGTTAGGGACATCCAAGTTAATGAGTTTCTACTGTATGAAAATTTTACATGCTCACAAAAAGTAGTGAGGAATGTTCACATGTCACAAAAATGCTAGTTTTATCTTAAAAGGAACTTAAAATGGCATTGCTGCACCACTTGGAATCTTACAAAAATCCAAAGCAGAAAAGCAGTAGGTCATTTGAGTTGTGTTACCTGAATGTTCCAGCGCTCAAAGAAAAAGCAGAAAGTGAAATGAAACTCTATGGACATGTACAGATCATTTCTGCTATAAGGTCAAGCAAGCTCTTCAGTGGAAAATTTCAGGAGTCACTAACCATTTGTAATTCTACTTTCACATATTTATCCAGAGTAGAATTTTAAGAGTCATGGTTTTCCACAACTCTCTGGCCATAGAGCAATACTTACTTGCCAAGAACTTTACAAGTGGTTATAATTTAGTAAGCCCTCCAATAAAGTCACATGAAATGAAAAAACAAAAAGCTCAAAGTTCAGGACTCATCAATAAACATGCTTAAGTGAACATAGGACCAGTTTGTCATATTCTGTTTGACAGATTGCCTCAGTACTAAATTTAAAACAGGAGAGGATGGGCTTCCCTGGTGGCGCAGTGGTTGAGAGTCCGCCTGCCGATGCAGGGGACACGGGTTCGTGCCCCGGTCCGGGAGGATCCCACATGCCGCAGAACGGCTGGGCCCGTGAGCCATGGCCGCTGAGCCTGCGCGTCCGGAGCCTGTGCTCCGTAGCGGGAGATGCCACAGCAGTGAGAGGCCTGCGTACCACAAAAAACAAAACAAAACAAAACAAAAAACAGGAGAGGTATCAAAGTTCATGATTTATCGTATTAAAGCTCTGTGATGTAACTATTTTCAGAAACAGATACATCCCTAGTCAAATCCGATTTAATTTAAAAATTCTGGGATCTTAAAGAAGTAGTTAATACAAAGAGAAGAACTATAATACTTAACTTTTTAATGTCTATGGAGGTGAATTCTAAGAAATACCATGTGCTGTCATAATTAGAAAATAGCATTATATACAAAACTTGCTCATCAATACTGCACTGTATTTCAAAAAATATAGAGAGGACTAAAAACTGGTGAAATGATGAGTAGGGCTGGAGAACAATCAAAAAGACTAGTAATGACTACTTTTCTTCCCCCAGGTTAATTTTTAGAAAAGTAATTTTAATAGCAGTTAACACTACAAAAATTTGGTATGTGTCATAGTATCTATAATGCAGATATCAGCTAGTCTAAATGACATAGATATTCAGTGCCTGGATGCCAATGCCATTTTGTGAGAGGTATCCCAATAAGCTTGAAGTAAACTAGGTGTGCAAGATTAACAGAGAATTAATTACATATCAGTTTAATAACTAAACCACAGAGCTTTATAACAAGTTTATTAAATATATTCCAAAAGTACTTACTTTATTTCTGTGTGTGGGGGGTATCATTTGCCTATTATAATAAAAACAGTGAATTTTTTCTGTGAAGTTTAAAATAGCTTGGTGGTATAAAATACATTATAGTATATGTCAATATTTGGGCATAAAATACCAAAAGAGAAACCAGCTTTTATGTTCACACTAATAAAACAGGCCTACTCTCTCCCTGTGCAGCACCAGTTAAGACTAAAATTGATGCAAGTTATATGAATGACCTAATTCAATCTGTAAGAAAATTTTAAAAATCACCTTTGATATCTGTAATGCCAAGGAAACAATAGATCACAATGTGATAAAACAAAAATTACCCAAGGGATTTGCTCCTTACCTGACTCCTACCCCTGCCCAACTCCCACCCCAATATCCTTGAGAGAGAAGCTTTTTCCACAAAATTGTAACAACTGGCTTCCACTTGTCTGGGCAAAGCTTAAGTTCAGCTAAACAGAGCTCAAACTCGTAAAACTGAGTGTAACTGTACAGTGAATACCACTGCCTCACCTGTAAACCACACACATGCAAAAACATCTAAGATCACCTTACCTTTAGGTTTTTATTCTAGCTCTTAAAAGAATAACTTTCCAAGAAAATTAAAGAATGGTCTAGCAAAACAATTTCATATATCTCCAAAAGAAACACATAACTTCCACAGCAAAATACATGATTCTATTTAGATTATGCCTTCCAAAACCCCTCATATTTTAGTGATTTAGATTCTTACTTCTTATTCCTCTTTACAATAACTTAAATTTTTTTTTTTGCCTTGCTAATACATCAGTACCTACTATATGCACAGACTATAAAACTTACCCAAAGGAAATTGGTTAAATTAAGATGGCCAATTTGTCTTTGAACTCACAGATTTTAAACAAACAGTTTTTGCAAGATTTTTCTGCCTTAAGAAAAATGGCCAACTTATATTTGAGGATCAAAGACATGAATTTCATCCCAAAACTAAACTCAATGGTTCAACGAACAAAATTCAAATAAATGATAACCACCTATGAAAAAACAGCTTATCTTTAACACACAGAATGTTGTGTAATTATTTACCATTGGTGAACAAATCCATTAGATGAGACTTTAGAATGTCATTATTAAGTAATAATGTAAAACTATTAGGTGAAGGTGTTTTAGAAAAAGGAATCAAAAGGCTAAAAGATCTGTATGTCTAAAACAAACATGCAAAACCATACTACAGGCAAGTTTACATCTTGAGTAAGCTATACATAGCTAAATATAAATAAAGGTATAAGTTTTTTTGATCTGATAAATACACAGAATTCAATAAAATTTATATTATCAAATAGTTCAATTTCCTAGAGCATCATAATAAGCAATACTAAAAATAGAATTTTCCCTAGTTCAACATAACCTAATGGTAACAGTATATTGCTTAAAAGAAAGGAAGAGTAGAAATCAGATTATCAAGATAAATTTCACCTTATATAAATTTTAATCACTATTTTTGATAGTACTGATTAGATGCCATGAGTTTTATTATTAGCAAGTTATTTCCAGTTGAATAAAAGCTATATTCTACTAAAATAATTACATAAAGTCTAGCCAAATATAACTGAACAATGAAAACGATATTAACATTTTTCAAACATGCTAACTCCAAATCACTTTACTAAAATACTAACAGTGTAGAAACCTTGTACTCTAATCATTACCATATCTAACAAAAAGAATGCTATGTATCAGTTATTTTGGAAAATACACTTTTAAAAAAACCAAAACTAATAAACCCACTTTAACATGGCTTAGCAGAGACTCAAATATTACTGTACTATTCATTTCACAGTAAAAGAAACCGAGGAACCAAAAACCAGTTCATTAGTTTGGCATACCACATCTAGTATGCTTTTAGATAAAATGACAATCCTAGTATCTTGCTTTCTCTAATAGTCTATTACCAAAGCATCTGTATACACAGTTCTAGAAAAAATACTAGGAATTCAAATGAGCAATTAATGGGAGGAATTTCTTCTAGGTCTCCTTCTTTGATGACAACTTTCCAAGGTTTCATATGTTGTTCTAAAGAGCGGTCCAAAAATTTCAAAAGCCTTGTGCCTCATCCTAAACGCAAAATCTTCCAGTAGCAGGATCAAGACAAAACTTAATTTCAAAGTCTTGCATCATAAATTGAAAAAAAAAAAAAAGGTTTCTTCTATTAACTCTAAATTTATATAAATGGTTGTGGAATATTTTTTGAAAAAAAATTCAGATGGAAGAAAGTTACCTTTTGGTTCCATCTGTAAATTCAGTAATGCAATTTCAAGGAGCTATTTCAATACTTTAAAAATATATAAATATTAAAACAGGAAAGTTTTTCTTTCAGACCTCAAGTTTCTACATCAAAAGTGTAGAAATCAGCAATCTAAGCCCTTAATCACATTGGCTGTCAGCAGAGAGAGTAGCTGATTGAGATGATATGCTCCTTACTTCATAGTTCAATTTAATCATAAAGGTACGCTACCAGCGTTCAAATGAATGCAGCTTCATCCGTTCATCAGAAATACTTCCTGTCATTTACTAATAGAATCCAGCTTGGAATTGATAACTGTATATCAACAGTGTTGAGACAGGAGTCTTCGAAAAAATTTTCAGTCTTCTGGAAAGCCAAAGAAGTAAAAAGGTGCTCATAATTGCCATTTTGATGAATCCAAACAGAAGAATGAAGAAGTTACTACTCTACAGACTACCTTAACCAAATGGAATCTCTTCAGTTTCTAGCACTGTGGAGCTATCAGACCCTGCCTCAATGTCTTCACCTATTAACGTTACCTTATTAGGGTTGGCTCTGAGACAGTTAGACTTCATTCCGGAGATTTCTGACAGAAAATTAGACATCTGGGCATGCTCCTCCTAGATTAGATGAGAAGGAACGGTATAGCTGGGTGTTGTTTTGCTAACTGTGCATCTTGACCTTAGCAGAAGATATAAAGTATGGGACTCATTATCAAGATATCTATTTTGTTGGCTGTTTTTTCTTTTCTTTTGTCCCAACTATTGGCTTTCAAATATTCACTTTAGCTTTCATAAGCAAGGTTACTCATGGAAAGTACTCCAATTTTTCCTCTAGGCATCTTCAGTACGGAATTCTTTAATTTTCAGTTCCAAGAGGCTTGCAATGGCAAAGCAGATGATTTGCATGTGACAGCATGCAGCTCAGAGCATGACTTAAGCAAAAGAAAAAATCTGATATTGTGTTTGGAGTCGATGTTGCAGACTTGGAGAAGACGAATGCACTGATTCAGTGTTGGAAGTACACAGGCCTCTTGTCATGGCTATCTGTATTCAAATTCATTTTGATATTTGTTAGTAAGCCAAAAGCCAAGCCCAAGTCAACACACATATTTTAGGTCCATTCTTCGAAGTTAAAAAAAAAAAAAAAAAGATACTCAAAGTTTCATGCTAAACTTTAGATATGTGAAAATTCACTGCCTCATATATTATTCTCAGTTCAAGCACTTTTCCTACTACTCAGTGATTTTATAAAGAAATCAAATATATGTAGCTGATAATTTCAAGAAGTTAAAAAGATGCATACTGACTACTACTTAAACTATGTGAACTAAACTTCCCATATGGATTTCTTTTTTCTGTACCAGGTAAAGCACCAAAATATCAGGGCCTTTGACATAATTTTAGCAATCTTCATAATTCAGAGCTGCTTAACAAGCAGCTCCTCACTCAATATTAATAACAAGAAATAGCTGGCCATTAATAGTCAGATTTTCTATCTCATCTTTTCCATTTCTTCATGAAAACTTCCTCAAGAATTCCTAAAACAGAATTAAAAGATAAGTTCTAAAACTCAATGAATCCTGATAACTTCAGTTTCTCTAAAATAAGGTTGTTTTGGGCTTCCCTGGTGGCGCAGTGTTGAGAGTCCGCCTGCCGATGCAGGGGACACGGGTTCGTGCCCCGGTCTGGGAAGATCCCACATGCCGCGGAGCGGCTGCGCCCGTGAGCCATGGCCGCTGAGCCTGCGTGTCGGAGCCTGTGCTCCGCAACGGGAGAGGCCACAACAGAGAGAGGCCCGCGTACCGCAAAAAAAAAAAAAAGTAAAATAAGGTTGTTTTACAACAAAGGCATTCATCATCAGTGTTAAATCTTGTGGACCTCAATAAATTGTTTGTTTCAAAGGAACACCAGTCCTATCAACATAGTCTTCCAAAGAGTGTAAGGCTGACTTTCCAACTCCAAAGTTTCTGGCTTTCGAGTAACTTCCATTCATTGAAATAGTAGGCACAAACCTATTTTTATCAATGTTAATTACAAAGCTTATAAGAAATTTACCCTTATGAGTAGTAGTTTCATAATTCTCATAATCTGCTTCATTTAAGTAAATTGAAAAATAATTCCATGAAAACATTACTAGTTAAATGTCCCAACAGTTATTAAAAGAGGTAACTCCATAGGGCTTCCCTGGTGGCACAGTGGTTGAGAAACCACCTGCTAATGCAGGGGACACGGGTTCGAGCCCTGGTCTGGGAGGATCCCACATGCCGTGGAGCAACTGGGCCCGTGAGCCACAACTACTGAGCCTGCGCGTCTGGAGCCTGTGATCCGCAACAAGAGAGGCCGCGATAGTGAGAGGCCCGCGCACCGCAATGAAGAGTGGCCCCTGCTTGCCACAACTAGAGAAAGCCCTCGCACAGAAACGAAGACCCAACACAGCAAAAATAAATTAATTAATTAATAAACTCCTACCCCCAACATCTAAAAAAAAAAGAGGTAACTCCATAAATAATATTTACCTAGCTATTTCTAGATGCTGCTTAACACAATATAACCTGTATTTTAAAACTGAAACACATCAGGGGCTTCCCTGGTGGTGCAGTAGTTGAGAGTCCGCCTGCCGATGCAGGGGACACGGGTTCGTGCCCCAGTCTGGGAAGATCCCACATGCCGCGGAGCGGCTGGGCCCGTGAGCCATGGCCGCTGAACCCTGCACGTCTGGAGCCTGTGTTCCGCAACGGGAGAGGCCACAACAGTGAGAGGCCCGCATACCGCAAAAAAAAAACACAAAAAACTGAAACACATCATACCAGTTGCACAGGAGGCCACAGTATCAGAACAACAGCTGATATACGCATGCTGCAAAATCTGATCCATTCTCGTCTAAAACATTATTAAGAGACAAAACTTTTTAATTAACATATTCATACCTTCACTTATCTGGTTCTCTGATGAAATCACACTTCCTGAGGGCAAGGAACCAACTGTGCTTGAGCCTTCTAAAGTCTGCCCCTTCTCAAAACTAAACTCTGGAAGTCTTGGAGCCTGGGGTCTGGTTTTTCTTGCAGGATTCAAGAAAAAACAGTAGGCACAACGAAAAGCTGCAGAGAATTTTAAAAAACAAAACAAAAATCATAAAACCAAAGAAATTTTAAGGACTAATCAAGTAACTCTCAAGATTACTTTTACAAGCAGTCAAAGAAACCTTCAAAAGTTACTTAGCCCTTGTGAAATTACTCGTGGTTTTAATAATATTATGGCAGGTGTTCTAACCAAAATTTATTTTAAAGCATACTTTCTAATTATTAAAATTATAATATCAATTTAAAGCAGAAAAGATAATAAATTACATAGCAGGTTAACTAATAGCAAAACAATATTAATAATGATCTAAATGTGTTACAGAAATTACATTTCTAGTCACCGGAATCATTAGGTATCTTAAAATCCAGAATTTTGCTCACTTGACCCAAAAAATGTAGTATGTCATACTTGAGAAGCATAATTAATTTAGTTCAATATTTTTAAGTACTAGTAGCTGCACATAAAAATATTCTGAGGAGCTTTAAAAAAAATGCTGATTCCTGGACCCCACCCCAGATCAATTAAAGCAGATTATTTGTAGGTGGGACCTGGGCATCACAATTTTTAAAAGCTCTTCATGTGATTCTGATGCACAGTGAAGTTTAAGAACAACTGGCCTAGGGACTTCCCTGACGGTCCAGTAGTTAAGACTCCATGCTTCCAATGCAGGGGAAGTGGGTTCGATCCCTGGTCGGGGAACTAAGATCTCACATGCCGTACCGCATGGCAAAAAAAAAAAAAAAAAAAAAAAAAACTGTATACTGTATGAAGAAAAAAACCTGAGTTGTCTTTCCTACTTTGCTCTGTGTTCTACAATATGCCTGAACAACATATAAACAGTAATACCTAAAATAAAATGGCATTACATGGGAATTGGCATAGAATGAAATATTTAAAACATTTAAATCTAACTGCCAAATAATTCTTACCAATGTATTCAAATTCTTCTTTCAAAGCCATGCCATTGTGAGAAAAACACTGCTGACATATAAGGGCATACCTACATCAAAAGGAAAAATGAATAGAAAAGTTACAAATGCAGATAAAACCCATGGGAGAGGCTACTTTAGCCATCACAGCTAAAGTACACAGTACATAGCATTTAATATAGCTAAACATGTCATAATAGATTAGATATTACTTATAAAACAATAAACAATACTCTTTAAACATGCTAACAGTCAAAATTTCAACTAATATAATTTATACATCAAATTAAAAATAAACTAAGAAACACTCAAATGAAAATATTCTTACTAAGTAAGCAGAAACATATTTGATAACAGAACACTTAAATTTTAATGTTTTCTAACATATATTCCTGGGGATGACAGACCCCAAATCTGTGGTCAGATTAAGACTGGAAAAGATGAAACCTCTTAGAGATTCACAGTGAGTATTATTAAAACCTCTGAGATGTCTTGTAGTAAAGAAATTAATTTAATCTTGTTTAGTCCAGTCCAAAGGTTAATTTCTATACATCATGATTCCTGTATCTATCCCAGTTACACTTAAACATCTTCTGCATTTTCTACTTATGTAATCTTTCTGTTCTCTGCATATGTACTTAACAAATACTTGGCCCTATCAAACAACATTCTATCTGTTTTGAATAACATATAATTTTTTACATTAACATTAAATTCTAGTCCCTTTATTAAAACGATAATATTAACCAATAACCTTGTCAAATATCTACTCTAAGAATATCCTAAGAATTACTTAAAAGTCTATACTATGACAATTTCTCTGCTCACATCATACCTATAATCCCAGAGTTATTATAAGGATCAATTAAGATAATACCTGGAAAAGCATTTTGGAACTGTAAGTGCCAAATACATGAAATTATCCTCACTGTTATTAAAATTATCACCATCAAGTCCAGTACTCACATTTATAAAACTCCATTTCTTACAACCTACCAACTTTTCACTATTTACATGCTCTTCAAGTTCAAAAGAGTCAATGAAATGATTCCATTTCTCTAAAAATTACCTTACAGTATGGTTATAACAGAGCAGAGTTACAGTATTTTTTCTGTTATATATAATACATTTTTAAATGTTTTATCTAGATACTTTAAGCTACTACTGAAAAATAATTGAATATGTACTCTTTTGCAGGGCTATAAAATACTCCATTATGTTCTAAAATCAGGAAACAAGAACCACAAAGTTGTAGAACATCTAGTGCGTGTGCACACACACATACCCTAACCAATAAGCTTTCCTTCATTTTCATTTTTCTACCACCCTAGTAAACATTACCTGTTCTGTGGACCATCACCAACTAAATATTCAACAATTCTATCCAGAGCACCTCGTTCTCGGGGCAGAATAGGTCTTGCTAAAGGTGGACCAGGAGGATGAAGACCTAGTAAATAAATAAATATATATATAACTTATATGTATAAAATACATTTAAACTTGAATTCAGTTGCCAAAAACTATGTATGCTTGTCAGAACTTTTAAATGATTTTAACAAAACAAAAATAATATTGTTATTAACCTCTGTGTTCAAATTTTCATTGAAAATACTGCACTACAAAAAATATATTTATACATGTTCTATATTAGAACCAGGAACATAATCTATTAAGGAATAAAGCTATGTTGAGTTCTGTACAAATTAATTTTTAAAATGCTCAGACTCTTAAAAGTTTATGTAATAATAAACTAGGGGGCTTCCACTTTGTACCACAATAGAATAACCAGGGTCAGATTTAATCTTCCCACCTAAAACAACTAAAATACTGTGTAAAATATATGATGCAATGGTTTTAAAGACACTGGATATCAGGCAATGTAAGATAAAGATCCCTGAAAGACAAAAAGCAAATAAGATGAGCCCACTGCCAACTCCCAACAGCCAACTGCCCCCAACCTGTTGCCTGGAGAGAGTTTCCAGGTAGCAACTCAGGCAGGGTAAATCCAGGTGAAGTTCATCAGTCTCCTTGAGTTGAGGAGATAAAGCTGGAACTCTGGGGAGGCCAAGACAGGTTGAGTTCACTGGAAAGAGTACCAGAGAGGAGAGAATGCACGGAGCAAGAACACCAAAGATCTGCCCAGGATACCTATGAGGAAGACTACCTGAGGACAGAGAAATAACTGCCCCAAAATACTAAAGTTACCAGTGCTCACATGGGATCAAAAATATCACATGTTCCCACCAGCCAGGGTGGAAAACTTCATAACTCACAGGTCATCGGGTAAGTATTCAGAGAAGCTTTGTATAGGAATATGAAAACATCCTGTACCCAATAAGGTTAGATCTACAATGTCTGACATCAGATAAAAAATTATTAGACATGCAAATTAGCAGGAAAATACAACCCATATGAGAAAAATCAATCAAAAGTGATCCAGAAATGACAAAGATGACACCATTAATAGACAAATATACTAAAACACTTATTATGACTATATTCCATATGCTTGAGAATCCAGAGGAAAGACTTAATATGTTAAGTAGAGACATGAAAAAAATTTAAAAGATCCGAATTGAATCTCTACAGATGAAATCTATAATATCTGGATTTAAAAATCCACAGGTGAAATGAATAGCAGTTTGGACATTACAAGAAAAAATTAGTAAACTTGAAGACAGAGCAACAGAAACCATACCAAATGAAACACAAAGTCCAAAAAGATTTTTAAATGAACAAATCATCAGTGAGCCGTGGAACATCCTCAAGCACCTAGTATACATATAACTGAAGTTCAGAAGAGGAGAGAGAGGGAAAGAAAAATATATTAGAAGAAATAATGCACAAAAATTTTCCAAATTGGATGAAAACTGTAAACAAACACACAGACCCAAGAATATCAACAAGCACAACAAATATAAATAATATTGTGCCAAGGCACAGCATACTCAAACTGCTTAAAACCAGTGATAGAGGGAAAATCTTAAAAGCAGTCAGCTGTGGCGCAGCGGTTGAGAGTCCACCTGCCAATGCAGGGGACATGGGGTCGTGCCCTGGTCCAGGAAGATCCCACATGCCGTGGAGCAGCTGGGCCCGTGAGCCATGGCCGCTGGGCCTGTGCGTCTGGAGCCTGTGCTCCGCAACGGGAGAGGCCACAACAGTGAGAGGCCCGTGTACCGAAAAAAAAAAAAGCAGTCAGAAAAAGATACATTATATACAGAGAATCAGAGATAAGAATGACAGATTTCTCATCAGAATATAAGCAAGCCAGAAGACAGTGAAACAGTATCTTTAAAGTTCTGAAAGAAAAACTATCAAATTAGAACTCTGTATTAATGAAAACATCTTTTAAAAATGAAGGCTTTTTTTGGACATACAAAACTGAAAGAATTCATCACTAGCAGAACTGTACTACAAGAAATGTTAAAAGAAATCCTTCAGGCAGAAGAAAAATGACATCAGACAGAAAGCTGGATCTACACAAAAGAAAGAGGAGTAGCTGAAATGGTTACCATGTGGGTAAACACATAAAATTTATTATTTAAATCACTTTAAAAAATAATCGGTGGCTTAAAGAAAAAGTAATACATGACTTCCCTTCCTGTCCAAAATTTCCCATGAAAGCTTTTGTAAGCCAAAATGGCATAAAGTGAAGAAGCAATTACCTTAGGATACATCTTGCTAATGGATGCACAAAATAAATTGAGATAAAACACAGAAGATGTTCACAGACAAAGTTCAAAGCTATGGTGGCTTGATGCTGAGATGCTGAGTGTAGTTCCCAGGGAAGTAGCTTGGCGGTGCCACTCTTGCTGCTCAGGATGTGCGCTGCCTCTATAACAGCTCACTGCAAAACAAACGCTAAACGCTATTTTTGCTTTCCACCTGTTTTTGTAAAAGCGAAAACCCTCTTCCGATTTCTTTCAGTTAGTGAAAACAGGTACTAATGTAGATCTTTCATAAAAGCGAAGTGGTGTAAAGTGAACTTTCAAAATGTGGGGGATATCTGTAATTTCTTCTGGGGTTTATAATACATATATAAGCAAAATGTATGACAACAATAGCACAAAGGCCAGAAGGAGAGAAACATAAGTACACTGTAGTTTGATTCGTAAACTATGTGAGAACTGGTATCATATTACTTGAGATGAACTATGACAAATTAAAGATACATACTGCAAACTCTAAAATACCTGCTAAAATAACAAAAACAAAAAAGCACTACAGCTGATAAGGCAACAAAAAGAATTAAATGGAATCATAAAAGACACTCAACCCACAAGAAGGCAGAAAACAGGAGAAAGGTAGCAGAACAGATGGGACAAATAGAAAAAAAAATAGCACAATAAAAGATTTAAACTCAAACCTAAACATACTAATCATTACATTAAATTTATGTGGCCTGAACATCCTCATTATAAGGCAAATATTGCCAGAATGGATAAAAAAGCAAGACCCAATAGATGCCACTTACAAAAACCCCATTTTAAATATAAGGACACAAACCGGTTAAAAGTAAATGACAGGAAAAATATATAAATACACTAACACTAATCAAAAGAAACCTGGAGCACTTGTATTAATAGCAATCAGAGTAGATTCTGGAGCAAAGAATATAATCAGGGATAAAAAGGGTAATTGCATAATGACAAGGAGTCAATTCATCAAGAAGACATAATAATCCTAAACATATATGTGCATCATAACAGAGTTTCAAAAACTAACAGAACTACAAAAAGAAACAAAGACACAATTATAGTCAGAGATTTCAACAGCATTCTCTCAATAATTGACAGAACAAACAGACAGAAAATCATTGATGACATAGAATACTATCTACTACCAACTTGACCTAATTGACATTTATAGCCATTCTACCCAACAGGAACAGAATATATATTCCTTTCAAGTGAACATAAAATATACACCAAGACAAATGATAGTATGAGGTATAAAACAAGTCTCAATACATTTAAGAAGATTCAATAATACAAAGTATGTTTTCTGATAACAATAGAATTAAATTAGAAATCAGCAACAAAAAGACATCACGAAAATATCCAAATTTTTGGAGACTAAATAATAGACATATAAAAAATCCAGGCTTTAAAGAAAAATCAAAAAAGAAATTAGAAAGCATTTTTAACTGAATGAAAACAAACAAAAAAACATGTCAAATTTATGACATGCACCTGAAGCAATACTTAGAGGAAAATTTATAACACTAAACACTATACCACTAAACACCTACAAAACAGGATAGGCCTAAAATCCGTGAATTCAGCTTCCACCTTAAGAACCACAAAGGAAACAGCAAATGAAACCTGAAGTAAACAGAATAAAGGAAATAATAAAGATCAGAGGGGGAATTAATAAAAGAGGAAATACAAAAATAATAGAGAAAAGCTAGCTCTTTCAGAAGACCAATTGCATTGATAAACCTCTAGCCAGACTAATCAGGGAAAAAAAAAAGGAAGATACAAAATACTAACGTTAAGAATGAGACAGACTTCCCTGGTGGTGCAGTGGTTAAGAATCCAACTGACAATGCAGGGGCCACAGGTTCCAGCCCTGAACCAGGAAGATCCCACATGCCAAGAAGCAACTAAGCTCGTGAGCCCCAACTACTGAGCCTGCGGTCTAGAGCGCGTGAGCCAAAACTACTGAGCCCATGCGCCACAACTACCGAAGCCCAGGCACCTAAAAGCCCATGCTACACAACAAGAAAGCCACTGCAGTGAGGAGCCTGCACACTGCAACGAAGAGCAGCCCCCACTTGCTGCAACTAGAGAAAGCTTGTGCGTAGCAACGAAGACCCAATGCAGCCAAAAATAAATAAATGAATAAATAAATAAATTTATAAAAAACAAAATGAGACAAATGACATAAATCGAGATAGTAAAGATATTAAAAGAATAAGAAGGGTATATTATGAATAACTTTATGCCAATAAATTCTATAAGTTAGATGAAATAAATTCCTCGAAAGACTACCAAACTACCACAACTCACTCAACAAGAATTAGATAACTATTTAATTTGTTAAAATTTTGTTAAGAATTTTTGCATCCATGTTCATGAGGGATATTAGTCTGTAGTTTTCCCTTTAAAAAACTGAATTTTTAGTTGAAAAAAAAAACCTTCCACAAAGAAAACACCAAGCCCAGGTACTTTAACCTGTAAAATTTTAATTTATTATTAAGAAATAATACCAGACCACAGGACAGACAGAAGAAGCAAGAAGAACTACAATCCTGCAGCCTGTGGAACAAAAACCACATTCACAGAAAGACAAAATGAAAAGGCAGAGGACTATGTACCAGATGAAGGAACAAAATAAAACCCCAGAAAAACAATTAAATAAAGTGGAGATAGGCAACCATCCAGAAAAAGAATTCAGAATAATGATAGCAAAGATGATCCAGGACCTCGGAAAAAGAATGGAGGC